GCGGGAGCCCCACCGCGGGAAATCTCTGTGAGCTGGCGAGTCACACCGCGCGCGGGTCCTGCCGAGGAGCGTGCGCCTGGCGGGGCTCAGCGCAGGGTCCCCAGCCGCCGCGGCCGCCCCGCAGCCCCCAGCCGGACCATGGCGACTGACAGTAAGTGCGCTGGGCCGCGGAGGCCCCGGGTGGGAGGCCGCGGGGCCCTGGGGTGGGAAGTTCTCCTCTTTGGACACCTGTCCTGATGCCAGGCTCGCAGACCAGCGTCTGGGGTTCCCCTCGCCCCTGGACGGGCCCTTGGTCCTCTGCCCATCACCCTTCGCTACCAGGCAGGACTTCAGAGGCGCAGGTGGTCCTGGCAGCCCACTCGGGAGGGATGTGGCAGAAGGGCGTGCGCCGCACGGAGGTGGAGGGGACGCTGCGATGCGGTGGGGCAGAGGGGCAGAGAGGCAGAGGGGGCTGCCCATGCTGTCGTTTGGGGGCAGTGCCCTCAGGCCCAGGGCCAGGCTTTGGGGATCCCTGCCACCCAGGCACCACTAGCCCTTGGTGCTGCGAGTTCAAGGTCCGCCTGGAGTTCTGGGTTGGATTTGTGGACTTGCCTTTGGGGATAAGGTATCTGGACTGCTGGCTGCCCGGTGGCCCCACTCCGGCCATGCTACTAGCGCAGCTGTGGGTCGGCCAGAGACCACGTCTGGTCACTGTGGGCAGTGAATGTGATTAGCGTGTTGACTTTCAGGTTCAAACTACTGAATGGAAATGTTGGAAGGCGCTGGGCTGGCCTGCTTTGGGCATCTTGGCACCACTGCTTTTATTGGCTCAGTGCTTTTTGGAAATGGAGTCACGTCTATGAAAGCCAGTTTATTTAGATGTATGGGAAACTAGATATTATTATTATTATTATTATTATTATTATTATTTCTTTATTGATTAAGGTATTACATATGTGTCCATATCCCCTAATTGCTCCCCATCCCCCCAATCCTGCCCTTACCCTCACCCCCTGTTGTTTGTGTCCATAGTGGAGCCTTAAAGGGAGATCAGAGTAAAACCACCATCCCACCTGCTGCATACCCACCATGTAGATAAGGAGCTGTGGTCAGAGCCCATAGTACACACCTGGCACATATTAGAGACTCATGAGTGAATGAATGGTGTACTGGTTAGAGACACCCTTTGGTGGGCATTTTTGAGAGGTGAGAAGGGACAAAGATGGGGGTCAACATTTCTACAATAATTTATTGTTTTTATTTTAAACCATTTACTATCCCAGCCAAGAACACAGCTTTGGTGTAGTACAGAGAGCATGGGTTTTTGTAGCCAAACAAACCTGTATTTCAAACCTCTGAAATTCACTAGAAGTGGGACCATGGAAGGTGTCCTCAGGCTCTTTACCTCTGAAGTCAGGACAAAGCTAGCCTGTCTCTTGTACAGTGATGAGCACACAGCTGGCCTTCCCCCTCTCTCTTTGCCAACATTTTATATGTGTGGAGATACCAAACGTTCGCATCTTTTTTGTTTTTATTTTTTAAATATATTTTTATTGATTTCAGAGAGGAAGGGAGAGGGAGAGAGAGATCAAAACATCAATGATGAGAGAGAATCATTGATCGGCTGTCTCCTGCATGCCCCCCATTGGGGCTTGAGCCCACAACCTGGGCATATGCCCTGACCAAGAATCGAACTGTGACCTCCTGGTTCATAGGTTGACACTCAACCACTGAGCCATGCTGGCTGGGCTTCTCCTCCTTTTTAAATTAAATAAATGTAGATTGTGTTTATAATAAAATCAACTAAACTGAACTAGGGATCCCCTTTTCTCTGCCCATTTATAAAAAGTGTAGTCTGGCTTATTTTTTTTTTTCTAAGAAAAGAAATAATGGATTTAAGCTTTTATTAACAAAGTCAGACTCAACAAAGAGGAAGATAATTAGATTTGGTCCATTACTGTATTTCTTAAGAAAAATAAAGGCAAAGGGACTTGAAGTGTATAGACTTAATGCAGTGGAACAGCATTCTATCTTTCATTTTCTTATATTTTGAGTAAAGATAGTACATTTAGTTTCCTAGAAATATTGTCCATGCTCTGTACCAATTTATTTAGATAATTGTTTCTTCCACTTCCTTACATGGTAGATTCAACTCTACTAAAGAATCAAACTTTATCCCATTGGTTTTGTTTGTTTATGGAAAAAATGATGATGATATTCAACCAACTCAGCTCTTATGCTGATTTTTAGGCTCAATCTTAATTACGTTCATTCTCAGCTGGGATGGAGCTGGAACTCTGAAAGGTTTCCAGAGTGTAAGAGATCATTAGTTCATTTTTGTTCTTTTTCAGAAGTAGGATGTCCCTACCATGGACATGGAGAGAAGGGACATAATCGCAGCCAGTGTCTTGAAAAAGTCTCCACAAATCTTGACCATGTCTGCACCTTAAAGTCCCACAGTCCTCAGCATAAAGGTGACCCTGAAACTGTAGCCCAGGACTCCTCCCCCACATAGAATTCTTTAGCTAGCTCTGGTTCTCAGCCTGGCTGCACAGTAGAGCTTAAAAAATATGCTGGCTTTAGTTTTTTTTTTTTTTTTTTTTTTTTTAATACTCATCAAGGATATGTTTCCACTGATTTTTAGAGAGAGAGGAAGGGAGAGGGAGAGAAAGAAACATCGGTGTGAGAAAGAAACATGGATTAGTTGCCTCCCACACACACCTGGACATGGATTGAACTGAAACCTGGGCATGTGCCCTGACTGGGAATTGAACCTGTAACCCTTTGGTGCACGGGACGATATTCCAACTGAGCCATAGTGGTCAGGGCATGCTGGTTTTAGTGTTTATTTATTTATTTATTTACTCTTAAATTTTTTTAAATTATTAATTTGAGAGAGAGAGAGAGAGAGATAGTGAGAGAGAGAGAGAAATACCAATTATTCAGTGTGAGTATAAATTTTTTGGGGAATATATATATACACTTTTTTTTTTAATGTAGTCTCAGACTCTAATGTGTATTATAATCACCTGAAGGGTTTGTTAAAAACAGATTGCCAGGCCTCTCCCCAAGTCTCCAATTCAGTAAGTCTGGGTTATAGCCTGAGAATTTTCACTTCTCACAAAGTTCCAGGCGCTAATGAAGCCACCGCGCCCCTGTCCTCCTCCTGACCTTTGTAGGCAAGGGAATGACAGGTGAGAGGCAGGCAGAATCACGGAGAGACCATCACTTCTTTGGCAGTCCTGTCCTGTCACCGCCTGGGAGTACACGGCCTCATTAAGGCTACATCAAACCTGGGCACAGTATTGCCTTGGGCTGTAGCTCATGGCTTTCTCCATTATTCTCCCCAAGAAAATTTCCCTTGAGGGAAAAATTAGTTCTAAAACCAGGCAAAATCTGAACCCTCTACTCCAGTCATTTCTGGAAGGAATCCAGAAGGGCTTTCTTTATGAATGTGGTATGTAAATGTATATAAATACAAAGATATCTGAAATATATTTGCCTGGGAACTTATAATATTCACAGAAAAGAATGTAGCCAATGGAAAGAAAATGTCCTTGTGTCGAACAGCATGCAGCCTGAGGGCAGATTCCAGCGGAGGATGGGGAATCGGAGTGCTTCAACTTCGCTTTCGGGAAATGGAACTTTGAAATTCTCAAATTAAATTCCCCCTGAGCTAGTCATATTTTTATTTGGATAACTCGGGCTTATAAGAGCTTGAAAAAGTTGGGCGGAATTATACTAGAAAAAAAGATAAGAGACTAATAGGAAAAAAATCCTGTTTGCCTGAGCAGTGGTTTATTATAGAAAGTGGTGATACTTAGGTATTTAAACAATGCTTCATGACTTCCTCCGTGACAAGTGTTCCAGATAATTGTGTGTTTCCAGATCATAGTGGAGTATTTTTCTCTTTTTCTTCCATTTATGTCATTTGTTGCATTATTAATACGTCACCTTATGAGTCTTTACTGTTGAACTCACTGTAGTCTGTTGATAAGAATAATTTCTCAGGAACAGCCAGGCAAGTTTGGGCACTGTGGGAAATATGTTACTATATTATGGCCCAGAAATCTTGGGGGTGTGGGTTTTGGCGGCTGTTGTTGATGACTGGTTGGTGTCATAAGGGAGACTTCTGGTCCCCATCTGGTTGCTCCTGGTTGACTGGTTGGTCTGACGTCATTTTGCCTGGTCGATTGTTGCTAACCCACAGGTAACCTCCATCAGTGGTCATTCCCTCCTGTCTACTTACTGGTCAGCAACCTGCAGTTTCCTTTCTTCTCATCCCACCTACTCCATCAGCAATTTCCACTCTGCGCTTAGTGCTGGAGGACAGAAGGGAGAGCAAGGGAGGGAACAATCAAATGTAGGCCCTAAGCAGGTAAAGATTATGAACCTCTGCCAGTCAGTTGAGATGTTCATAGGATTTAAAAGAAAATTGCTTGACTTTGATTGAAAATGGACTCAGATTCTTAAGTAAAATTGTTTCCAATCATAGTTATTAAAAAGCACACAAATGATGCCACCTAAAAATGCAAAGTTAGGAAATTACTACTTTGCAACCAATCATAGTAGCCATTGATTCAAGTAAGAATCATCCATGGTTGCTAAACTATTGTGTGAAAACTTGAAGATGATCAGAATGTATACATCCCTGGAGAAGTTCCCCACAGATTACTCATTAATTGCAAAGGGGGCAATGGTAACATTACAGTGGAGAACCTGGGGTACACTACCTTAACCAAGCAAAGTGAACATCACTAATAATGGGGCCAGCTGATACCCTGTGCTTCCTGATATGAAGCACTGAGAAGGACACAGTGCCAAAATGTACAGTATAACCTGGTTCTAATTAGGAGGAAATATCAGACAAACCCAAATTGATGGACATTGCACAAAAGTCAATGTCATGAATGATGGTGGAAGGATTGTTCCAAATTGAAGGAGACTAAAGAGACAGCTAAATGCAATGCATGATTTTGAATAGATCCTAAAATGGGGGAAAGTGCTACAAAGAACAATATTATCATAATTGATGATTTTAAAATATGGATTGGATATTGGATAATAGTTTTATATCGAGGTTAAATTCCCTAAACGTGATATTTTCGTTGCAGTTTGGAGGGGAATATCTTTCTTCTTAGGGGAAACTAAGAATTCAAGGGTAAGGAGACA